CCTTCCTCTCTCAGTGGTGATTGATCACCCTATACCCATCTGCCCCAAGAGAGTCTGAGGACCTCGTCATGCAGCCAAATTCAACTGGATCCCAGGGGGTCTGGTGGCACCTTTTTTCTCTCTGTTTCCCTTAACATCAAGAAGTAGAGATCAGAAGTAGAGATCCTCAAGGAGAGGGGACCCACAAGCTGACCCCTGAGAGGAAGAGCAGGAACTAGCCTAGTGAATGGGGTGAAAGTTAGGAGGGAGCAAGGAGGCATGGGGAGGAGGATATGGATGGGACTGGCCTGGAGACAGAGAAAGTGGGTCCTTTGGGCAACTATGTGTCATTCATTGAGGCTGGTGCTCGGGATACAGAGGTAGACCCCAGGGTGCATCGGAAAGAACCTTCTATGCACCTCCAGGGAATTGAGACTTTATCAAGGCAGTGAGGACCGACGGGTGCTTGGTTGCCTGCCTGTTCTAGGAAAAACAAAAATTCATACAAAAAAATTGTATACTCTTTGACTCAGCATTGAATAATAAATAAGTCTTAATAAAGTAAACATTAAATAATTATTTAACCAGAATTATAATATTGGAAGGATGGGGTACAGGATGACAACTTCTTTAATAGGAAATAGCCATATACTATATGGAAATATAGATGTAAATACCAGAATAGTTCAAATAGTTGAAAGTAGTTGCTTCTGAAGAATCAGGAATAGGGAAGGGTGGGAAATGGGACTGCTGTCACACTACTGGCCTTGAAGTATTTAATTTTGTAAACAAACTATTTAGAAAGATAATTGTGTATCTATATTAACATAAATAAAATTATTTTAAAATGTATCTGTGAACTCCAGCTTCACCACTTAATAACTGAGTGACCAGGGGCCAACTCTTTATCCTCTTTGTGGCTTAGTTTCTTCACCTGTAAAATGGGATAGTAATGCCTATCTTCCTGAGTTATTATGAGGATTAATAATTAATAAAGTATGTATGTAAAATGCCTAGCACTACATTTGGAGCTTAGTAGGAACTCAATAAGTGGCACGCATTTTCATTTTTAATGATAGAAAAGAGGCCTAAAAAGCATGTTTAAGAGGCCTGGACACAGACCTATGTTATATACACCTCTGGTCATTGCAACACACCCCCTTATTTAATAAAGGCATGCCTGTATTCATAAAGAAGAGAATATCAGAAACCAAAATCTAGTTAAATATTTGAAAGTCAGGAGGTATAACCACCCTTGAAAAAAGATATTCGCAGAAACAAAGAGACAAAACAATGTCTTTTGGTGAATCGATCTGCCTTAGAAAACAGAGATTTGCACAATTTTGATTTGCACGCACGTTTAAAAAAAAAAACGGTAACCTGGGATTTGAACAGGTAATAGGAACAGTTTAGAGAAAGACGGTTTCCCTGCGCCGTCTAGCGACCAGGGTTCTAGTTCCTTTCACCGCTCAGGCCCTCAGATTTAAAAAGATCTCTAAGCCTTGTTCAAAGCTCTAAGTTTCTGTGACTTCTTGGTAACGTACTTTTGCCTTGGACGTGGCAATAAACACACGACCCAGGTTTCTCACTAGGCTCCTAACACGGATGCATCTCCTTAACCGGCCCCTACCTAAAACAAAGTATTTCTGAACAAGCAGCCCTCCTATCGGCTCTTTTCACATTCTGCACCCGACATCGCTCTATGGTGGGAAACTCAAGTGGCCTCCGCGGTCGCCCCCGGAGTGGGAACTACACCTCCCAGGGTGCCCTGGGGCGGGAGCCCACTCGGATTGGCCAGAGATCAGTGATGCTCAGTGTTTTGGCCCGGACGGTCACATGTTTCCTTTGTTGTGAGCTGTGGCAGAGACTGGTGGCTCGAGGAGACGCCGGCGCTGGAGGGAGCGCTGCGCCGCTAGCTGCTAAGGGACCGCGGGGGCAGCCGCTGCTGGCCACTGCTGCTGGCCGCTTCCAGCCTTCGCCGAGAGGTACCTGGGGATGACAGCTCCAGGACCAGCCGAAAGGCGAGGAACCGGCCAGAGCCGGGGGCGGAGGGGCGATCGAGTTCACGACCACTGGGGTGTCAGCAAGAGGGAAGCCCGGAGGCCGGCCTCGCGGAGCCAGACGAGGGGTCTAAGGAGAGATTGTGACTGGGGCTGCAGGGCCTCTGTCTGGCATGAGGGGGTCTCCAGGGCTCCCCTGGGAGTCTTCAGTCCTGGCTCGGTAACGACAGTCCTGAAGGGAGGGCACCTCCGCCTCCCGGCACTGCCGCCCCGGAACCGCGGCGCTGCTGACGCGCCCCGCGGGGGGCGGGTTGGGAGGGGCATGGCCGCCGGGGCTGGGGGTAGCAGGTGCGAGCTACCCCGCCGCCTAGGGGTGGGGCGGCTGCGGAAAGGGTTGGGGAGACGGGTCCCGCATGTTGCCACTGGGCTTCGAAAGGGGTGCTGCTCTTTTTTAATCGAAGGAAGCACTGAGAATGAGCAGGCCTCAAATCAAGCCTTCCCGTTTGGTGGGGGCGACCGTTGTCTGTCAGGGAGGACTGACGGGGGCAAGGTGGGTTCCCCAGACTACGAACCAGAGAGGCTCCATTAAAGCAGTTGCGAAATGTGCTCGGCACTGTCACCTGACCGTTACCCCCGCCCCCACACCCTGCGAGCCTTTGTTTACCACGGATCGCGGCGGGGCCCGCGCCGGGAACCCGGCCCTGGAGCGACCGTCCCCGGGGAGCCAGGACGGGCGGGGGAGCGGGCGTTCCGCCGGCGGAGTCCGGGTCTAACATCCCCACCTCCCTACCACTCCAGGACTCGGTTTCTTAATTTAGTTCCTAGAGTCCCCGCCCCCAAGTTCTGGACATCCAGGGCGAAGACTGTTAACCGGGCCGGGATTGGGCGCCTGCGGCGGCTTGTGGGCGGAGACAATGGAGCGAGTTCCGAGTGTTTATTGGCGGCTGTCTTGTCGCTAGGTGGTCCTGCCCTAGCAGTTCTTCTCCGCCCCCTTGAAGGTGATCTGGAGGACGCGCGGGAGCGCGCGCGCG